TTTGGGTTGGGGATTTCGAAAATGTTCTGCTGCTTCTTTGTCGAGTCATTGTCTAGAATGTCTACTGTTATCTTAAAGTATCCACTTGCCATCACAAGTAACAATTCTGGAAAGAAAAGGGTTGTTTTTGTTTTGACAAAGAAGTGTAGCACAAACTTCATAATGCTGCTTTTGTTGGCGCGGTCCTTCAATGTGTATGGAATCCAACTTTCAAGCTTTTTTATATTTCCAATCGCCTTGAGGTGGTCTTCGACAGTCGATTTGTTAAGGTTAAGTTTCCCTGCATGTTCTCGAACAGTTATTCTGTGGTTTTCTTCCACGACCTTCTTTGTCTTCAAGACTGAAGTCTCTCTCCTGAAATTTTTCGAACCACCGTTGAACAGTGCACACAATATGCTGCTCTTGCCTCAGACTTGATAGATGTTTCCGGCCGTCTGGACCCCATTCTGGCCGAGTTTAAACTCGTATAACAAAATTATACGAAAATCACGCGGTGACATCTTAGTAAAGACTGAATTATTTCTAAGCAGCGAAATGCTACAGAGGTAAATAAACATTATGGTTTAGAAGAGGATTAATAAGTGTTGACATTCATACAAATGAATAATACAGTAAACTTAAACAGTTTGTTATAAAGAAAGAAAACTTAAAATCCTGCATTATTTTTCAGACAACCCAATCACCCTTAATCATGGAAAAACAAGAAATAAAAGCTTTGCAACTGTTAATTGTAGTCATTGTTGCTGGAAACTCTTGGATATTTTTAGATGAATGGATAGAAAATCACATTTTTTCTTTACACAACTTGAGGTGAATCTCAAGTTTTTACTGAAAACTCGGGTACTTTTAGGTGACAGGATAGAAAATCAAATTTCTTTACACAACTTGAGGTTATCTTAAGTTTTTGACTAATAAACCTCAACTTAATTAATATTAATTTTAATTAATATTAAAGCTTATTATATGAGGAAGTTTTCCTAAAAGTGGGGTGGCTGTAGTAGAGTTGAAAAAACAAAACAAAAAAATGCAAATAATCTTTGATATATTTAAAATCTATAATTAGCTTAGTTTATCTGCTCAAAAGTTCTCTTTATATGATTTTAATGATGACGAACTCTATTTACATTTGAAGTAAATTTCTTCTAGTTTACAGCGAAGCAATTTTAATTATTTAAATAAAATTTTTCTTCAGTTATCGCTTCCTATTCAACAAAAAACATGACTTATTAAAAAAAACACCCAACTTGGATTTCCTGCTTTCCTTCTGAAAATTGGCCCATTGCTTATATTGAGTTCTGCTATAACTCCTATAAAATGTCCTTCTGCTTACAGGATGACCTGTATATGTTAATTTTCATAAAAAGCTAATTTTTGTTTAAGTAATTCTTGAAACATAATTTAAATTTTTTGTTAGGGAAACATTAAACATTGATAAGACTTAAGCTAATGATAAAAAAACATCATAAGTACGTAATGATTTAACCTAATTATATATCCAAAATACAATTGATCAATTATTTTCATTCAAAGAACAATTTCATTTCACCTCCATTATTATAATTATCTTATTTTTTTTTCACTTAATTAAGATCTAAATTTAATTTTAGTCATTCTTTATATTAGTGGTAATGCTACTGGTATTGGTGAAAGGATTAAGTCAAGCAAGTGGGCCTATGGGTCCTTTTTGCCAACCCCAAAAACAATAATACCAATGGTAGACTATTATACTTCCAACTCTGTCTCAAATCTTTTTGTTCTTCTAATAAAGTTAAAAAGACTGGACCATTTTATGGAGGTAGCTTCATGTTATTGTATTTTATCTGAGTCCAGAAGTCTGTATATAAGTGATGCAAATCGTTCGCATTCTGTAATGTAGTGAAGAGCAGTTTCTGGTGCGTTTTTGCAGAGTTTATCATCTACTATCCCATAAATCTTTAGATGTCTTTTAAGTCTGCAGTGGCCTGTTAGTTCTCCGATGATAAGTCTGATTTCCTTTTTAGTTAGGCACACCAGCCATTTAGTTTTAGAGGGGAATACACTTTTGATAAATTGTTTGGCTTGTCAAAGCCCAGTGCATTCCTTCCACTCCTTGCCTACTCTTTTCCAAATCCAATCAAGGACTTCTTGGATATTCCTATTGCAGGTTCCGGACCTAGGATAGGAAATTCCGCTGCTTTCCTTGCGAGGGCATCGGCTGTCTCATTGCATTTGATTCCCTAGTGACTAGGAGCCCACTCTAGTTCCACTCTCTTAGAGCAGGCCAGTGTCTCCAAAGCCTGTTTACACTCTCGTACTAGTGTAAATAACCAAATAAAGTTAAATGTTAATAACTTGTTTTGGCGGGAATAGCGAATAGCCTTCCGCTTTTTATTGTGGAACTAGGTTATTTACACTCCTGATTATTAAAACAAAACCCCGGCACTGGATATAGACTTTTTGAGGGTGTTTAACTGTTGTTGTGAATTCGGGAATCTAATACCTTTTGTGACACTGAGTGAGAAGAAACAATAAGAATACATATATGAAATGTGGGACTTAGTAAATACACTTTGAATGAATTGACTCACCTGGTTTGTTATTCTTCAATCGTGAGGCATGTAGGACAACTAAATAAAAGGACTTTTCACTCCTGTATAATAAAACAATTTATTTTGATAACTGTAATAAATTAATGTATAAAGTCTAATAACTGTAGGCTTGATATTCTTAGTCTTCAATGTAGTAAGCCTCTTTTCCCAGATGACGTCTTCTCGTCTTCGTGTCCAAGCCTCAACTGCCTGACGTCCTCTCTGCCAGCTGTTGCTAGCTACCTGCTCTGATCTTTTTCCAGTGTCCTTCTCCATCGATTGTTTATCGATATGAGACTTTTCCATGAATAATTTGTCCATTGCATAATTGAGTACAATTCATCGTGCAACCTCACATTCCTATATATTCCTTCTCATTCCATCACACAATGTCACATAAAGGAGTAAATACAGGGGGATGTCTACTACACTAGTGTGGAGATCACTTTTAGGGAGTCTAGTGTTTGAAGTGTCGACTGGCTATCCGAATAAATTGTAATGCCAGCACTCTCACAATTAATAACTTCTAGAAAGGTCGCTGCAGAAAGTATAGCAGACACTCCCGCATGATATACTGTAGCATGTTTACCTAATGGTACGCTTAATTCTATATTTAAGTTCTCTATATAGACTCCTGTGTCCGTTAAGCTAGTTGAGTCTTTCCTCGACCCATCAGTGAGACAGGGCAGGTAGTCCATCTGAGTTTCTATTGAAATCTGTTCCAAATCTTATATGTTAGGATAAAGATTGCTAACCTTTGTGTCTAGAGTAAGGCTTTTATCAAACGGCGGAGAAAGGTACTGTAAAATAGCTAACTCTTTTTCCACCATCCTGGCTATTTCTTAATGGCCGGTGTGTGTCCCTGGTACTTGCCACTGTCTGTTATCCTTCATTCTTAAAAATCCCATGACCGCCTTACCTAATATCCATAGATTTAGTGGAATCAATGACAATAAGACTGCCAGGGCTTTTATAGGTGTTGTGCGGAATGCTCCTGTAATGCTAATGCAGGCCATTCTTTTTATGTTATGTAACATTCGCATATGAGAGGCCTTATTTAGGACTAGTCACCACACCAAACTTCTATATTGTATTCTAGATCTAATTATTACCGTATGTATCCAATTCATGACTTTAAGCGGACCCTACACGGTAATTCATGAATGAACGTCACAAGAAGTGCCAAGATTGCTCGGGATCGCTTTGACGTTCAATCATTACTGATCATTACTTATCGTTGCTGATACCAATTTAGCTCAGTTGTAAACAAAGGAACAGCATAGATATGCTTATTTGGACATTGTCATTTATAATATTGGGCATCAAGAGAAAAATGGAGATATAATAATTACTTCATAGTGCTTCAATTTATTGCCTACTTGACTATTTAAAGAAAAAATAGTTGAAAATGGTTAATAATAAGATAGACTAGAGATATAAACAATTTTTTACTTTTATGAAATTATTTACTTAATAACGAGAACTAGGTAAACTAACCTATCTAGTAGTAAGGTTAGTCTAATAGAAAATCGTTTTGATAAAAGTTAGTAAAATAGAAGTCTATTACTTACAAAAATTAAGAAAAGGTGTTGCGAAAATAATAAATTTGTTGAGGAAAATGGGAAAAGAACTGATAAATATACACAACGTTAAAGTTTTTTTTTTTCTTAAAGTAAATTGTGAAGTTTCCTCATTTTTTTTTTTAATTTGTTGCCCACTTGACTATTTAAAAGAAATAGTTGAAGATGGTTTAAAATTATAAACAAGGGATATGAAAAATTATTTAACTATTTATATATTATGAAAATCAGAAATTTATAATGGTTGTGAGGCCTAGGTAACCTAACCTATCCAGTAGTATGGTTAGTCTCCCCACTACTTTTACCTCAGTCCCCCCTCCACTTCTCGTGAATGAACCTTTGATTTCCAGATGTTCGGAAATCCACAGCGCACCACCATCAGTACTTCATTCACTACCTTACACGATAATTCGGAACGTCATTAGTGCAATTCCGAATGACCGTGTAGGGTCCGCTTTAGAGTTAAAACCCCCCAACGGGTGCCTACATCATGTCTTACCTGCCAGAAGGCTATTATGGTTTTCCTTTTAACCTCTGCCAAATTTGATACCCAGTTCAGTTTAGAATATATGGTAATACCAAGGTATTTGACATATTCTGCCTTAATAGAAGTTGCTTACGAAAGAATTTTGGAGTCTTAAAGGTATCGAGTATTCTTTATATTAAAAAGTATTTACTGTTTATAATATTTTATAATAATAATATTTACTGTTTATAAATATTTTATATTTTTTATTGTTGTAAATATTCATTAAAGCAATTGGTAATGATTTTTAAATCTACATTATAGAAACAAAGAGGTTACCATTTTTTTGTTTTCTCTCTATAACTTGTTGATATCAATATGTTGCAGTTGGAGCAGCAACCATCAACTACTTATTCAGCAACAGGAACAGTTGGGATAACTGCTTCAATGGCTGTGCCTCCTCCCACACTAGGTGCTACATCTGTGGCCTCCGCATCTGTCACCCCAGCAGTTACCCCAGCTGTATTGCCTTCGACTTCGGTGCCACCACCTGGCATGTCCTCAAGTGGCGCAGATAGTACCAACCCGTATGCTTTATACAATACCTCTTTCTATAACCAACAAGGAGGATATATGTTCGGTTCTACACCTTATGGTGTACCCCCTGTATTCCCTCCAGTTCCCCCTCCCGTTGTGGTCCCAACAAGTACATCAGCTCCTCCGCCCACTACAGCATCGACTGTCTCATCCGCCTCTGGTATTCCCAATGCCTCATCATCAGCTGTTCAAGGTGAAGGTGGACCGAATAAGTCAGTTGATTCCACATCTACGGTAAGTTAGTTGATTTATTTCTTGCTTGTTACAATATTCTGTTAAATTTTTTGGTGCAGGTTTTGTCTCAAATATGCGTTTTTTTTTTTTTTTTTAGTTTCTTAAGTTACTTCTGGATAGCCCTCTTTTATTAATATTTACTATTTGCATCAGTTATTTTAATGCAGAAGGGGGGGGGACTCAAAAAGAAACATAAACTAATTGTTAGGATATAATTGGGAACTTGCATAGAAAAAAATATCACATAAATTTCAGCTGAAAATGAATTCAAGTAATAAAGAATCTATATAAGATTGAGATTGGACTTGTAAAATAATGAAAAAAAGGTTCATATTTTGCTAAAAACTTTCTTAAGAAGTTATGAATACTTAAGTTATCAAATCAAGTATTAAATTTTAACTATTTTTTATTTCTGTAAAAATTTGTATTTAAGAGTTTTAAAGGACACTAAAAACGAATCTAATTTGCTTTTTCATAACAAAAATTGATTTGGCCTACTTTACTGGAAGCAACTTTTGGCTTTTGTAATTTATGATGTATTACAACTTATTTAATACAATAGTCGAATGTTTTTTTCTTATTCTGCACAAAAAAAGAAATAGATTGATGTATAATACCCTAAGCAATTCCAGACAAAGCAAAGGCAAAATAAAGAACATATATTTTGTTAGAAATTATATAAAATGTTTTGTTTCTGGGCTTTCAGAGCCCGTTGGAATGAACACTGGTGTATGTGTCTAAATATTTTTTGATGTATCAAAAATTTGACCAAAAAAAATTTGTTTGAAATCCTTTCCTTGTAAGTGCACAATGTTCTAATTTCACAGAGGGAAGATTCATCAAAGTATTTAGTTTTGTACTAATCGTATTACTTTAGTGATTTAGTTTTATAGAATGGTAATTAATGACTTTACAATAAATTAATGATATAAGTTTTGTTTAAAGGTAACTTGCATTATGAATGAAGTTGTTTTAGTTTTTGCATTACTTTGAATTCATGACTTGCCTAAGAAATTACAAATTTTAATAAGAAGAGTTTTTTTTTCTTCACTAAAAAGAGTTTTACTTGATCGACAGGTTAATTTCAAAGTTAGTAATTAACAATAACTTTTTATTCCATCATTAAATTTTATTATTGGAAGATTATATCCCTTATGTAATCGTTTAAAATTAGTAATTTTTTATTATAAATAGATTGGTAATATGAACTAACTCTTAAGGAGTTTTTTGAATTATTACAATTATTTACAAAGTCAAAATTTTATTTAACATTTCTTTTATTTCCAATCTAATCTGAACTTATTTTCATTGTTTTTTATTTGATATTCATGAACTTGGTAATTTTCTTTGCGTTGAGTATTTCAATATTACCATTATTAGTGTAGGTTTTTCTGCCAGCTCTATATTTTTAAGATATTTAAAAACCCAATTTTCTAATTTATATAAAGGGTTGGTTTTAGTAAGTAATAGCTGTTAAATATTAATAAAATTACAGATTATTTTTTATTTAATGGGTAATTCCAATAAAAATTAAAAACATCTTTTTATTTTTTCAATAAACAAGTCAAACATAAATCAATATTAATGAAAATAAACCATTCAAACATAAACTGGGATACTTTATATCTTTTCATTTTCGTGAAATATTATAATTTGTTATCATATGTTTATTATTGAACATATTGTTTAAACTTTATTTTTATTAGTTGTGTTGAATTATTTTCTGTATTGTTTATTTATTTTTTTAAATTTCATTGCAGAATAACATCTCAGGATCAACCAATCCTTCAGATCCGCAGTCAGCAGTAAATTTCAGTCAGCCTCCTCCTTCAACAACACAAGGTTCTTCAACAAATAATGGTTCACAGAATAGCTCAGATAGTGGTGGTATCCCTGGTTTAGACCTGTTAAATCACCCACCATCCTCTCAGTCATCTAAACAACCAGAGTTCAATCCAGCTTCTACTTCAAGTTTGATCCCAAAGCAACAAGATATAATTCAGACACCTGCTGATAGTAAACCTTTTGATTTTCCATCACCTGCCAAAAATCAGAACACTACAGTACCTCCACCGTCTATGATGAACTTTCCTCCACCAGGCTATTTGAACCCTACCTTTAAGGTTTTTCAAATGGGAACTAACCCTAATCCTGGTCTTCTACCATCTAAACACAATCCGAATAAAGAACTTGTTGAGGCTTTGATGAATACCATTGAAACCAATCCTGGTTCAAGTCAAGATGGAAGAAATCAGAATTACAATATGAATAGACATCAGAGATCTGATTTTGATCCTAAGGGTAACAATGGACCACCAGGAAGTGGACAAGATTTCAGAGGAAACCAAATGAACAACTATCCTCCACCAAATAATTTCAGTGATAACCAATGGGGTGGAAACCAAACAACTAATAAAGCACCTCTTCTTCCAACTCCCAACATTCAAGGATTTAATCCTCCTGGTAAACAGGGTGATATTCACATGGGGCATAATAATAATATGCCACCTTTCAATCAACCTTCAGGTTATAAGAACAATGATGGACCTAGTTTTAGAAATGATGGACCTTCACCTCGCTTTAGTGGCCCGCAAGGTTTTAGAGGTAATGATGGTCCGTCAGGTTTCAGAGGGTCCGATGGACCCCCTTCAGGCTTCAAAAATGATGGACTTCCACCTGGATTCAGAGCGGATGGACCTCCACCTGATTTCAGGAGCGATGGACCGCCACCAAACTTTAGAAATGATGGTCCTCCAAATTACAGAAATGATGGCTCTCAAAATTACAGGAATGATGGTGGGCCTGGGCCTCATGGTTTTCGTGGTAATGATGGTATGAGGCAAAATGGTCCTCCAGGATTTAGAGGTAATGACTGTGGTCCTGGCTACAGAGGAGGCAATGATGGCCCCCCTTCTGGATTTAGAGACGGTCCTCCAGGTTTTAGGGACGGGCCAGGATTCAGAAATGATGGTTTTAGGGGTGACAACATTCGTTCCAATGATGGCCATGGTTCTGATAATTTTAGGAGTAATAACTTCAGGAAAGATGACTTTGACCGCCCTCCTTATATGAATGATGATAATTATAGTTTTGGCAAAGGATCTGATAAGAACCGAGAAGAGCCAGACGGTTATAATCAAGATTTCAATGACAACCGTAGTGATAGGGTAAATTAAAATATCTGCATTTTTTTTTTTTTTATTAATATATTCAGTGGATTGTATAAATATTTTATTGATTTAGGGGCGTAGTGACTATAATGACGAAAACTTTGACAACCATTCTGACGATAGAGGATCACTTGGAAATCAAAGAGGTATTTATAATTTTTTATTACTTGAGTATTGATACAAAACCATAATAGTTTATTTCTCTCATATTTATGATGCACTTTTTATAAATTTTTACTTGATTTCTGAAAGATTTTATGGTAGATTGTTTGTGTTTGCTTAATAAGAATAGCCTCTTGATTTTTCCTTCAAGCTAATGAAGGGTCAAACACCGCTATAGAGAGCAAGGTGAGTCCATTAAACAAAGCGTAAGAAGGAAAAACTTGTCAGATTTGAGGTTTTACAGTGGCATCAATCCGTTTGGCTTATCCCCTCACCTTTGTGGTCATTACCGATTGTTCATTTTGGCGGATTGACCGCAGTTGTAATGCTTTAATTATTAAATTATTAGTTAAACTTCCGAATGATAATTTAGTTTTGAATCCGATGTCCACAAAAAGAAGTTGATGTGTAATAATTGTCAAACCTAACAACATATTAAGAGAAGCATAAAGGAACAAAAAATTGATTAAAATAAAATAATGTTTTTAGGATCTAGGTAGATTTTTTAATGTTACTTACAGCCACAATGAAAAAGCTTTTAAGAACAATTCTATCAAAAATGAGGTTTTGAGTTTTTCTGGTCAATCTGTTGCTGTTGGATATTCTGATCCCATAAAATGAAGGCCTTTTGTAAAAACCTGTAATTTAAAAACCAGCAAATTATAATTTAAAAAAAATCTAAGTTACAGTGAAAGTTATAGAGATTGTGTCTTTAACCTAAAAAAACGTGATGAAATTCTCAATGAAAGGTGGTCATGTAAATACAGAATGTTTAAAACATTTTTCACCCAGACTACAGTATTAATTAGCTTTATTAATAAGCTAAAATTAAGCTTTATATTCTTTTTTTAAATTTCTAATAAGTAGTGGACAATTCAAGTCCGGGCCTCTGCGCAAATGCTCGGCTTTCCCTGCTCAACGGGAATATAATATTCCAATCAAAACCTGCTGCACACTGCAAAATGAGCTTGACTGACTTGAAAAAAAGCTACAATGCCGCCGAATACCAGATAGTGAGAGACAGAGCATTAATTGGAAAATTTAACACAAGACGAAAAATGAACTAACTCTAGTTTCATCTTTTAAAACCAATGAATCTGACAAAAAACAAAAAATCAGACTTGGCTGTAAAAAGTTTTCCCTTGGTGGCCTGCGTTAGCAATTTTGTTTTCTACATGTCTAAGCCCATGTATACAAGTTAAAAAAATAAAAAAATTTCTCACTTTTTTGCAATGGATTTCCCGTTTCGATCCTCAAATTATTGGTCTAATATTCTTTAAATCAGCCGCCATTTTTGATTGCAGCGGCTCTGGAACGGCAGACAAGGGTTCTTTTTACTCAGAATAACGTACACTTTCGTAATTTACAATCAAACCTTCGTCTGTGATCATGTCAATTTTGGAGCCGTGGCTCTAGGACTACATAAATTTGATTGCTTTTACCAAACTAATACTTGTTTTTCAAAATAATTAAAAAGCTATAAGTTAGAAGTAATGGCTCTAAAAGATTATTTGACAGAAATACCATATCAAAAAAGTTGTATAGACCTTTAAATCTTTATCTTAGGGCTGCAATAAAAAATAAAAAAATTGAGCTGAATATATAATGCTTATAAAAATTACGAAGATTTTCGTCTCCAGAAAATGTTTCTTTACTTCATTATAAGAAGTATTTATTTGAATATATATTAATTTTTAAATTTGTATTTATGATTCCAGAGTCAATATAGTTTATCTAGAATGATTAGTAATATTATTTTTTTTAAATCTATTAATTTAATTTTTTATTATATAGTGTTAATCCTAAATTATATTTAGCCAACATATATATTTAAATTATTGGTTTTAAATATTTTTGATCTGAAAATTTTTTGTTCTTTGTTTCAGATTTCAGATATCCTCCAGCAGGTTCAGATTCTCAAGAAAGGTAGGATACTTATTATCTACTGTTATTTTATTTTATCATTGATTATTTATTTACAATATTGTATTTGAATAGTCATTTTTATTCACATTTACTTAGACACAGTTATTTTTAAATATTGTTTCTATGTTTTGTGTTTGATAATGATTGTTTGAAAAATTATATCTTTCTATTATATAAGAAAGTTTTTAGTGACTATCATGTTTTATTTTATATATACAAAGAGCAGACAAACTATAACAAATTCAGACCAGGTTGGAAATGTCGATTTAGTTCTAGGAAGCAGAGTAGGAGTTTACAGGATCTCAACTTTTCAGCTCAGTCCTCTAGGTTTGATAGTGCTGCTTTCCTATGGCATACATTTTCTCTAAAAATTTTGGGTCTAAAGTCTTTATTTTAGATTAGAAGAGTAGAAGGTTACAAGAGCTCAACATAAATAATTAAATGAACTTTTTCATAATTTGTAGAATATATATAATTCCACAGCATACATGATGATTTAGTTCCTCTGGTTTGCAATAATTTCAGGGTTTATATGACAAATTTGTATTGAAAGTTCTTTTAAATTATAATTCAGTACGGAATGGTTTTGCAAAAGTTCAAAAATAATAAATTAACCTTATTTTTAAATTGTATGAAGAAATCAATGGTTATGAACCAGCACATGCCAAGTAAATAGCTAATTTATTATAATCTTATTATAAAAAACTTAGAGATGTTGGAAGTACATACAAGAACATATTTAATAGTCCTACTATGTTTGCATTTCTTCAACCAAAATTTCCAAACTTAATTTACCACACTGCGATATCAAAATCAATTCTGTTAATTCATCAATTAATAGAAAGCCTGTTAAAATTCATAACATTTATTAACATGCTCTAAAATATCTATTATTACATCAAATCATTAACAAGATCTGATATGGGATATTATGAATAATTTTTAAGTGAAAAAGAAGAGTGTACTTTTTTTTTTGGAAGTATTATTTTTCTAAGAAATTAGTCTTATAATTTAAACTCAAATTTTATTAAATGGATATAAAATACACATGTAATGATTAAAAAAAAAACAACATTGAATAACCTGTTATTCTACTTCCTGATATTCTGGAGTCCGAAAACTAGTTGATCAAGTAGAAACAGGGTGGTGAATGACCTGAAAAAATAAGGAAAGTCAGGGAATTTTTAATACAGGGAAAAGTCTGGGAGAGAGAAGTCAGGGAAAAAATTGTTAAGTCAGGGAATTTTTTTAGTTCGTAAATATTTTTTTCAAATTTTGAATAAATATATAGTGGATGTCGTTTATAACGACCTTGAAGGGACCAGGTAAATTTCGTCGTTATAAAGGTACAAATGTTATATCGACAACGATTGCTATATCCATCCACCTGTGTCTGTCAATAATGGCCCTGGTCTTATATTGAAATCAAACAAGGGTAATAAATAAAATATAAGTCTATTTTGACTTATTTCAGTACTTTTTTGAAAAGAAAAAGATAGCAATACTATTTACTATCTATAATATATACAAGTATGGACATATTTATTTTTTATATAAGGTAATAAACTTAAAGATAATTCTGTCTCTAGGTAAATGTCCATTAGAACATTAATCGATCTTAAAATACTTAGTCCGGTAGGGCATCAACTCTTTAAAAAATTGCATTACACTGTGTTGAATATGTCAGTGCCATGACAATTTTGGCAAACGGTTGACTGAACCTTTGAATTTCATTCGTTCGTTAACTGAAGGAGAAAGCTGGCAGCTTGACTTGAAAGCTAAATTTTTTAAAAATAGTATTATGTCAGAAGCAGAATCTTTTATCCATACTCATGAAATACTAGCTCAAGATTCATCTAGAGCAGGGGTCCCCTAACTTTTTGTCCTGTAGGCCACATTGAGACCTTGACTGAGTTCTGTAGGCCACATTGAGACCTTGACTGAGTTCTGTAGGCCACATTGAGACCTTGACTGAGTTCTGTAGGCCACATCAAGATCTCCCAAGTCCCAATGTCCATGGCTTGCGATGAAAATAAAAATCTTGTTCTATAAATGATACTTCAACTTTGAAATTAGCTTTCTTATAGAAAAAGCCCATGCAATAAATGTTATAGTAACCTCGCGTGTGAATAATTTGCTTAATTTCATATTTTTAAATAAGTTTTAAAATTTTACCATGCAACAAAAGACATTTGTGCAGACATAGACTCCTGATCTAGAGGATCGTAAATTGATTTTAAATATTCGTTAGTCTTTTTGAGTAAAATCTGGCTTAAACCTGATAGCGAAATATTGAAAAGAACGGATTTGGTTGGGAGTAGAGTCATATTTTGGATTTAAATGATTCAGCATGCCCTCAAAAATTAGATTTCGCAATTTTTTCAAATTGTAGTAAGATTTGTGTTTAATTCTGGAAGTAGCTTACTATTAGACTCTTCTCTTTTCAGTCGGCATAATATATAGAATTTTTCTTACAAGCAAAAACTTGCTCTTCATTATTCTTATCAAACTAATAAACAGAAGTATGAATTTAATGCTAAGAGTGGGAATGAAATTGACCCTATAAATGTAATGCTTACATAGGAAGGGAATGAAAAAAAATTTCCTAGATAAATGAGATGTAAAACAAGTTTTAGGAGTTCAGAGCGCCAACTGTTGCTATATCCGATCATTTTTTCTAAAAACTCTTAGAAATCGAGTCGCTATATCCATAAAAAAATAATTTACAAAAGCCATCTGAATCATTGGATGTGCCGTTTTCGTTGTTAAAGCCGATACATTGTCACAACCGATGTCGTTATATACGATATCGACTGTAATTCGAAGATGCCCTCATTTAATCTATATTTAATAATCATTTAAATTTAATAAACCAAAATTTATTGGTTTTAAGAACCCCTGAGTATTTCAGTATTGTTATAAACTATGAAACCATATCACTATTCCAACTTCCCGAGCCCATAATGTTTTACTTAATATTTATTGCGTTCTTCCTTTCATTTATCTGTAGATAAATAAATTGAAACTACAATACATTATTAATTACTACCTATATTTCACACATTAATTATTAATACTAAAAAATGACAACTGAAAAACTATAAACTCGGCTGACATGGCGAACGTCTCTGGAAGTGAATGCAAAGTCCAATACAGGCCGTGGGGCATCTTTTATGGTAGTTCCAGTTTTTTTTTTTATTCAGATCTGAACTCAGTAGCAACCATAAATTTAGTTTAGAGCTATCCAATATTCAACAATTAGTATTGTTTCAAATACTCAATTTTACCGATAGTTATCACCTCTGCCACCTCGCCTCACAGTTGGTATCATATTGATAATCATTACGCTGTTTGTGGTAAAAACGATACTAAATCACTTATGTGGAACTAAATAAAAAAGAATCGCCTGTAGCTCATTTTATTTTATAATAGGGAACAGCATCAAGTTTCAACTTTTACCTCCTCTCAGTTTATGGAAATAAAATTTAGGCGATAAAAATAAATGACTTAAAGTTTGGTTTTCTAAAATTAAAATAAATAAATAATCCTAATCAAGTTTAAAAATGCTTCCTGTTGAACATTATATTTGTTATTTAAAAGACTGAACAGACTTTTTTTTTTATTCTAATCTTTCCACTTCCAATCATGTATAATAAATATATTTAGTTGCAAACTATACATTTTTAACATTTGTGTCCCCTTACATGATATTGGTCAGGAAAAACTTTCATTAATTAGGGAAAAGTTGGAGAATTTCACTGTTAACAGTCTGGTAGCCACCCTGAGGAACCAAGAACGCATTAAAAACAAAACTTAAAATGACCCCAAAAGTTTCAATAGTTTTTTTGCTTGTATTTCTTTTCTTACCTAAGATTTTATATGTTTGATATTCATATTTTTTAAAATACAACCATTAAAAAAAAATCAAAATAAATTTTTTAACACAGGGACGACAATTATGAGAATGAGAGTATATATTCATAGCATATAAACCATTACTTGAAGAAATCTGGCCTATGATTATTATGTAATATTAATTACATGTTTAAAGTGTTAACTTACTATATTTTCTTTTTCTTCAATTTACTGAAATGGTGGTTTCCTTAAATGCTGAAATACTGTTTTTATTTTGAAACATGAACCATAAGGTCAGATTTGATTATGTATTCTATATTTTATTTTTTATTTCAGCTATAATGGTATCACTTGCTACTTGTCTATCAACAATTCTCTGTTGAGTGATTTCATTGATACATAAAAACTAAGGAAACATTAATTTTCATAACAAGACTTATTCAATCAACAGTATATAGGCAGATATTATTTAGCTTCAGCATAGAGATTTTAATTATAGTTTTTAATTCATTGAGATTTGAGTTTTATCTTTGTTGCTATTTCAGGATTTTTCGATCTTGGTCCAGATTTTGAATAACCAAAACAAGATGATTGTGAAATAAAACGATTAATGTTGGTGCAGTAGTACACAATGAACATTAATATTATAATATCTGTAGATATTATCAGAGCCACTAGAGGATTAGAAACAATAAAGATATTCTTTAATTCATTGATTATTCGCTTTATACTTATCATTCTTCACAGATTTGTATTTAAGCAGTAATTCTAACTAAAGCACCATATACACAGTCATTTAATTTCATTATTTCTCACAATTTCAATCAACCAATAAGAGTTTTTATAAAAATTAAATCAAGTTAACTTGAATTAAGCATTATTTATCAATGATGTAGAAAAATTTGGATTTTCCTGGGACATGGTGTTTCCATCACTGATTTTGATCAAACTCTTTAAATGATTCTACATTGAAAATAAAACTAAGCGTGCTAATATGTTTAAAAAAAATCTGGTGCGCCCAACACACAATTTTCATTTACTCCTCTACTTTAAATAGAAATTATTTTCTGGTAATGTTGGGCGATTATAAAATTTTTGAATTGAATTTTAAATGGAGCTAAAGCTTAAAGCTTACAAATATCTAA